TATATATATATATCTATATCTATCTATCTATCTATCTATCTATCTATCTATCTATTTATAGATAGACATATATATAAATATCTATCTATCTATCTATCTATCTATCTATCTATCTATCTATCTATCTATATATAGATAGATAGATAGATATATATCCCAAATGTCTGAGAAGAAGAGAGACATCTTTTTGCTTTTTGTGAAAAGAATGCACCCTTGTCACGATCCCAACTATATGAACCATAAAGAATTATTATGCCGAAAAATCACATACATACACGCAATAGGTTGGACTTGATGGACTTGTGTCTTTATTCAACCTCAAATACTATGTAACTATGTAATTTTATGCTGTTAAAAAAAACAAGTGGATGTAAGTTTTTGTGCAGTACAATACTTTGGTAGTTAAATACTGGTATTAGTTTTTATAGAGCTATATAAATCACACCAAAAAGAGAGACAACGAGGGGGAATGAGGGACAGAGAGATTTTGTTTATATACAATATTTTGTTTACCGACCAGCCATAACATTATGACCACCCATCAAATGCTGAGAAGGTCTGAAACAGCCCTGATCCATCAAGGCATAGACTCCATTAGACCTCTGAATGTATGCTGTGGTAACTGGTACCAAGCCATCAGTAGAAGATCCTTGAAAAAATAATTAAAGCCTAATGGTTTTTTTGCATATATCTACTGCTGGCAAGCAGTAGATATATGCAAAAACATGAGAAAAAAAGATAACAAAAGGGTTAAAATTTACCTATGTCTCTGCCGTGCGTTCCCATCTGAACATCTGAAGATTCTCAGAGGATCGCAAAGGATCATGGGGCGGGAGAAGGGGAGAGACACAAGGTATGTCAATGCAGGCAGCATGCACCCGCACAGTCTCTGTGGTACAGGAAGGGACAGGAGTCAGTGCTGGATCAGAAACCAGCACCAGCGCTGGATGGACTCCTGAAAACTACTGGAAAGAAGATGATAGGATAAAGAGGCATCATTTAAGGTAAGTCCTTACACCAGCATTGGGGGGGATTTGGGGCTTTAATGTCACTTTAAGTCCTGTAAGTTGTGAGGTGGGACCTCCATGAATCGAAATTGTTTTTCCAGCACATCCAACAGATGCTTGATTGGATTGAGATCTTGATAATTTGGAGGCCAAGTCAACACCTTGAACTTGTTGTTGTGTTCTTCAAATCATTTTTGCAGTATGTAACCTACTGAAAGAGGCCATTGCCATCAGAAAATACTATTTCCATGAAGGGGTGTACTTGGTCACCAACAATGTTTAAGTAGGTGGTACGTGTCAAAGTAACATCTACGTGAATGGCAGGACCCAACGTTTTCAAGCAAAACATTGCCCAAAGCATCACACTGCCTTCTTCCCATAGTGCATCCTGGTGCCATCTCTAGCCCAGGTAAGCGACACATGGCCATCCATGTGATGTAAAAGAAAAGATGATTCATCACACCAAGCCACCTTCTTCAATTGCTCCGTGGTCCAGTTCTGATGCTCATGTGCCCATTGTAGGCAATTTTGGCGTTGGATACAGATCAGCATGGGCACCCTGACTGGTCTGCAGCCATGCAGCCCCATACGCAACAAACTGTGATGCTGCATAATTTTCATATTCAATATTACATATTTACCTGACTAATAAAAAAAATGTGTAAAAATTTTATTAGTCCCCTTTTATTGCAGCAAGTTTACTTTTTTCTATGCAAACAAATTGCTTTTTGTGAATTGTGAAAATTATGATAGTACTGCTGTTATGCTTTACATGTCTCTAAGAGGTTTACCTTAGCTGGGTGCAAAGCCAATCGTTTGCACCCAGCCATGATTGAAGCAGGTAGCAGTCTATACTTACATTTTCTGGCTGGCTTTCTGTCAGACCATTCCTGGACTATGATTTGGTCTCCAGGTCCTCCAATGTAGTACTCATCTTCATAGGTGGAATTTCCAGGTATGTCAAATGGATCCCATGGTGCAGTCAGAGTGTTCTTAACACAGATTTTAGTAACCTGTTCAATCTGAAACATCACCGACTCTTTGTACAGATATATGTATTCAAAGAACCTATTGGAAATGAATACAAGCACATAATAGTTAACTTTATGGTACAATCTTCAATTCAATTTAGAAAACACAGTTGACCAATTAATTTGGAAATGTTTAGGTAAGTTCCCATAGGCAGTGAACTGAATATCTATCTCATCTCAGCATTTCTATAAGGGAATTATTGGGAAGTGGATGGCAATGTCCATAATGCCATACTGCATACTGTCCATTGCGTACTGTGCTTCAGGCACACAATGTACAGCAATATATTAATCAGAATATGGATATCTTTTTTTATCATTTATCTGAAGTTAAGTTTAAAACTGATCCTACATTGGTTGAATGTTGTCCCTTATAACTAACCATGTCTGGTCATATCAGATTGGCAAAATGGATAATTTGGTGGAAATGAAATTGCATGGTATGTAAACAACTAATTTCTTTATTTTCTTTATCTGGCCTTGAATTTCAGATCAGGAGTTAAATGACTACTGATTTACATTTAGTAAAGGACGGTGGGCACCCATGGGAAGGGGTATAAAGCATAGTGATTAGTGCGAATGGGTCCAGTCTATTTATATGCAGGGGGGTCCCCTAGAGCCTATATGCTTTGCTAATTCCATGTATATGTTAAAATCACAAAAATCAGTGTTGCTTTTTGAAATTGACAGAAGACACACTCTCTCATTTCTTCAAATGGTTTCTCTAATTCTTCATGCTCTTTCTATTTGCATGAGGCCTGAACAGTTACTTAATATGGACAGCTTTGGTAATCTGGGACTGTTGACAAACCTATGCATGCATGCATACTCATAAATCACCCTATGTATGTTTTTATTGCCATGGATTATGCAACATTTAAAATAACAATCGATCTTTTAAATGTGCTTACTCTGATATAAGTGAAACTTTATAAAATGTATGCATGCCCTTTTCTGACAACTCAGTGAACTGCAGCATCTGTGTAATGTCTAAGTAACTGACTTGAGTTTAGGACAAAGAACATGGTATGAGGCTTTACTGAAAGTTATATGACACGTCAGCACCTGATGTGTAAATGCAGTTAGGATAGAGAACAAATTGAACAGGTTTATTTTGCTGCAAATGTACTGAAAACCATAAAGGAATCATGTTCGGTTAGTTCCATATGGATTTAATTTCAACATTATCAGGTCATTTTTAAAATTTACACTTAGGGCAGCTGAACAGAGGTCAAATTCTAGTATAAAATGCTAACATATCAGATTTATAGGAAAACATAAAGTATTATTGTGTAAAAAAAAAATCAATGTAAAACTGTAATTGGCTACAATTATGTCTTTCTACAGTCTCAAATGTTTCATGTTTTGCTAGGCAAAGGATTTATATATACAGTATGTGTGTGTGTGTGTGTGTGTGTGTGTGTGTGTGTGTGTGTGTGTGTATATATATATTATAGTATCTGTTATACATCTTTTTCTGTAAAGTAAAAGCTGTTTTCTGGTTCCGTAGTATTTAAAAAGGGTGCTACCTTGGTGCCCCTCATGACTATATCACGACAGTAGATTTTTAGATATAAACATGAAAACATCAGCTTAAGGTGTTAGTCCAGCCAAAATTATTTTGTTTTAGTTTGGATAGAGCAGAGAAGGGTTAGGACCCTGTAAGGTCTTTACAGCTATTCAAGGCTTCTTTAGAGGTTTCCTCTCATTTACTGATCCAATGACATTTAACCAGTATAATAGGGGAAGGCTAGAACTTCAGTCAGTATGTTGATTGTGTCTTTGTCACTGTTTCTTATTCTTCCTCCCAGCTTGCCTGGTAAAATCATTGTGACCAAGACAGTAAGAGAGGGGAAATCTTTCTAATGGAGCCCCTGATAGCAGTGAAAACCATGACTGCAGTTCAAATCCTTCCCCACTTTAGATTGTTGGTCATATAAGGGAGCTCCTAAGCAGTAATTTTTTTAATCTATTTTCTAAAACAAGACGTTTTTGTTTTTTTTACTCTTCTGATTTGTTACTGCTGATGTATCCTATTAATCCATGTGAAAAGTTACTTTTAATAATAAATTCACTTGAAAAAAAGCTGAGCTGACTTTGTCTGTATGCATGATATTATTATTATTATTATCAAAAACAGCTATTATTCATATTTTCCTTTCCGGTTATTGTAAATTTCTTGATAAAGGATTTCCGAATAAAGTATCCCATTCCAGAGAGTATTTAGCCAAAGTTTGCTTCTGTTTGTGGTTTTATGCGCATAACAGTCCTTCCTGGTCGTGCTAATATAGCAAAGGATTATTTCCAAGTTGCTTCCATACACCAAGCATATCAGTTTGGAAAGATTGTCCTTTGACTGAACCAAGTAATTTTCTAATTTTCTGTGCCTTTTTTTCATCTTCTATTTATTTCTTGCTTTATACAACCTCACTTCATCCTTCAAAACCCCTTATAAGAAATTAGTGCAGGAATTCAGACAGTCTGGTCTCTCTCCTTCTATGTCTAATATCCTTTTCTTCCCACAATAAGGATGCCTTGAAATATATCTATCTATTGCACTGCCAAAGGAATACACATTGAGCTGGATTATGTACAAAGTACCTATCCAAAATGAAAAAAAGAAAACATTTCTGCTTATTTATAAAACAGAACCTATAAAAATGAAACACGCTATGAGGCAAAGTCAAATAGGTTGTTCAGTTTGCAAGGAAATTTTCCCTTAGCTTAGTGAATGGAATGGAAATTCTTGTTGCAAAGAATACTCAATCATGTGCAAAAAAAAAAAACTGCAGTATTTTTATTTGCACATTATTGGATGGTGGAAGTCAGTAGAGCTTCACCTCATTCACTAAGTTAATGGAGAATTCCCATACAAAAGTGAACACCTTTTTTGTCCTTAGTAAATCAACCCCAAAGTATTATCAAGATTAAATTTTTCGTTTGTCCAGTTGGTGTCAGTAGACATGTATCTATCTATCTAACTATTATTAAAAAAGTAACTATCACTCAACTGTAGTTTCTCAAATCATCTCTGAATTGGTGCCAACACTGTCCTTACTTCTGGAGGGTTTACTAATTTGTAATGGGATTATAGTCTATCATGGCAGCAAGCTTGGAGTGTTGGCTACTTTACAACACACACAGGGACCATGGGGAACAAAAGTTGCCACCCTCCAGAAGGAAGGACAGTGTCAGCACCAATTCAGAGATGATATGACAAATCTACAGCCAAATTATACATAAATAAGTGACATTTTTATTAATAGTTAAGGTACTTGAATGCATTTTCAAGACTTAATTCCAGAGTTTAGTGTCACTTTAAAGTGACAGTCACTTTAAAGTGACACTAAACTCTGGAATTAAGTCTTGAAAATGAATTTAAATTTTTTTAGATTTAAAACCCTAAGGCTCAATAAAATAAATACTGTAAATATACAAAGATTATGTATTCTTTATGCAAATAACGTGAAACTAGTTAGATGCAGATTGTACAAGATGTAACTGAGGATGTAATAGAGAAAGTTCACAATAACAGCACATGCTCTCTATAATATATAATTATCTAAAGGAATTGAAGAATGTGTAGCCCCTACCACCTTTAGTGGAGTGGCAACTAGAAATTTAGATTGTTATTCACTATTGAGCCCGAGGGCTTGTGGGGAAGAGACCCTGAAAAAGCACTTTCCCAGTGCTGTGGCCTGGTATGACGGGGGGGGGGGGGGGGAGGGGCGCTCGCTCATCCCCCGCTTTCCTGCTCTGCCAGGCCTGTGCTCGGATCAAGGGTCTGGTTAGGAATTTTAGGGGGGACCCCATGTTCCCCCCCCCCCCACATTTTGCCGTGGGAGTTCGTCACGTGTGGGCGGTTTGGCCGGTATTGGGTTTTTTCTCTTCGACAAGCCAGCTTCATTGTGGACATCGCTGGATGACGTGATTGACCATGGATTACTTAGTTGGATCATCTTTTGGAATTTTTTTTTTTAAATAAAAGGAATAGTCAAAAACTTTTTTTTTCTTTCAATTAAAGGATTTTTTCTAAAAGTCTGGTTTGTTTATCTACATTTTCCCCTTACTCATTCACAAGGGGGGCAGCATCTGGGGCAGCAAGGGGGTGCCCGATGCAAATAAGCCCCCCCTGCCCGCAGACCCCCACCACCAACGGGTCAGAGTTGTGGCGGAAGAGGCCCTTGTCCTTATCGGCATGGGGACCAGGTGCTTTTCTAGGTAGGGGGCCCTGGGAAGGCACCTTCCCAATGCTGAGGGCATGTGGCCTGGTATGGAGCAGGGTGGGGGGGCGCTCGCTCATCCCCTCCCCCCTTTCCTGCCCGGCCAGGTCTGTGTTTGGATTACGGGTCTGGTTGGGGTTTTTAGGTGGGACTCCATGTTTTCCCCCCGTTTTTTGGGGTTGGGGTTCCTCCTTAAAATACCTACCAGACTTTGGATAGGTACTTTTTTTTAAATTTGGTGTCCCTCCTAAAATTCCTACCACACCTAAAGGGCTTGGTAGGACTTTTGGGGGGAACCACACACATTTTTTATTTTTTTTAATAGGGGTCCCTCCTAACATTCCTACCAGACCTAAAGGGTATGGTATTATGGCATTGTTTAAGAGTGGGGACCCACCCCCCACGTTGTTTTTTTTTTTTTCTTTAAATTATTTTTTTTTCTTAACTTTTTCTTTTTTTCCGTTTATTTAAATAAATTTTACGTACTTTGCTGAAGTGAATAGCAGAGCGACGTACGGCTCAATTCACGGCTGGGTTATTCACTCGGCTGCCTTTGTGAATAACCCCCTTAGTGATTGCCAGAGCTGTAGTCAGTATGGTTGAATTATAGTTTGTATTTATTTGGTTAATTCCATGTGTTCTGGCATTGATTATACCTGCTTGAGTGGAGTGTCACTCTGCTGCATTGTGGGGCAACCAAAGGGGGACATTGTGAGTGTGTGTGTGCACCAGCCAATTACTGGGGCTCTCATAGCCAGTGGTGCATGCTGGGACAGGGCATATACGATATACTCAGGGGAATTGCCATGTGCAA